TGGGCGGTAAGCCCTTGTTGCACCACCAATCGGGCGTTTCAGAATTGCACATCGAAAACGAGGGGAGAGATTTTAGGGAGCAGGGGACAGATACTAAGTTGTGGGGTTGACGCGCAGGGACGTGGAGGCGGGAGGGTGTTGTGTTGGGTGAGGGAGGTGGTGGAGGGCAGGATTCGGGAGATGTCCCCTGCGGCTAGGAGGTGAAGAAGGGTGAGAAAGGTGGCATGGGAGCGGGATGTGCAGGAGCCGTGAGAAACATACTAGTGGAGGTGTTGGGTCAGTGGAGAGTGGAGTAATAGGAGGAGGTGGTGGGTGCCGTAGAGGGGTGAAGGAAGCAGTGGAGGACACAAATATACAATTGTTTGGAGGGGCAGAGGGATATAGTGATGGATTTTTGGAACGGAGGAGAGGAAAATGAGAAGGAGAGGAGTGGAAGAGGCATTTGTGGATGGTGCCCGGGAGGGCGGATAGGAGTGGTGTGAGGCTTGGTTGTCGATAGTCCAGCGGGCAGAGGCGTTTTCACATTGATATGTCTTCTGGTGGCTGGAGTTTATGGGGAGAAGGGGGAGGGGATCAGGTGTGGACGGTTTCCAGGGGCGCTTGTGAGTGTGAAAGTCTGGGTGCAGAGGGGTCTCTCGCGTGTGGTGGCTTTTCAACAAGGGTTCAAGTCTTTAGGTCAAGTTGAGCTGGGGGTTTTGGTAATGAGTGGAGGTTCTGTAGGCCCAGCGTCTGGAGGTGGAGTGGGCTAGGTGTTGGTAGGCGCAGTAGGGCCCGCGCATCATGTGGGTGTTGTGGGCCAGTGCATGTGGATGCTGTGGGCCAGCCGACTGAGGGTGCTAAGGGGCCTGACGTCAGTGGGTGCAGGAGGCTCGCCTCTGCCTGAGTTGGACGGGGCTCGGGGCTGTGCGGTGGCAGGAGCAAAGTTGTGTGATACACAGTGAGGAGCAGGGAAGCAGCATCCTGGTGTTTTGGGTCAGCAGGAGTGATGAGAGCAGTAGTAGGGAGATGATGAGCAATGAGGGGAGATGTACAATTTTGGGGTGGGCTAGAGGGTAAAGAAAGGAGATTTGGAACAGAGGATTAGTAATATGGAAAGAAGAGGGGACAAGGTACACGAGTGGGACTCAAACTTGTAAGAGATGTTTCCCGGGGTGATTGCTTGCAGTCTGTCCAGCGTGCTCAGTAGAGTTTCTTGCTGTTTTTTGTGTCTTCCTGCTGCTTAAGTTCAACTGCTGTGTTTAACTGCTTAGCACTCCATCAACGCAGCACCCCCATCAGTGACTTGTGCCCCCCCATCAGAGATCTCCCCCCATGAGCTGATCTAAATTTATAGGGAGATGCTCAAATGAACATTCAACTCCACCCCAATTAGAAGCTGATAAGGATCACATGAATAGGGTGGGGGATGTTTCTTAGGAAACAAACTACAGTCGTAAACCTGGTACAGCTGGAGGTGAGGAATGGTCAACATACACAAATATAAAATACACCATTTGTTCTGAGTTTAACAGGAGTCAATGCGTTTTTCTAGTTAAGAGTGGAGATAGGAGATAGGTGCATTTACCCAGAGAAAAGCAGCAGGAGTCAATTATGAATGCTGCTGCTAGACTTATACACCTTACCAACTGATCAGCGACTGCTGTTCCTCTCTGCCAATCCCTCCACTGGCCTCCACTCAGTGTCCTCCACCCCTCTCTGCCAATCCCTCCACTGGCCTCCACTCAGTGTCCTCCACCCCTCTCTGCCAATCCCTCCACTGGCCTCCACTCAGTGTCCTCCACCCCTCTCTGCCAATCCCTCCACTGTCCTCCATTCAGTGTCCATCCTCCACCCCTCTCTGCCAATCCCTCCACTGGCCTCCACTCAGGTCCTCCACCCCTCTCTGCCAATCCCTCCACTGGCCTCCACTCAGTGTCCTCCACCCCTCTCTGCCAATCCCTCCACTGGCCTCCACTCAGTGTCCTCCACCCCCTCTCTGCCAATCCCTCCACTGGCCTCCACTCAGTGTCCTCCACCCCCTCTCTGCCAATCCCTCCACTGGCCTCCACTCAGTGTCCTCCACCCCTCTCTGCCAATCCCTCCACTGCCCTCCACTAACCCAATGTATAAAATTCAAAAATACTAACCACAGCATACAAAGCCATCCACAACACGCCCCTAGCTAAATCACCGACCTCATCCACAGATACCGCCCAAATTGCCCACTCCGCTCCTCCCATGATATCCTCCTCTCTAGCTCCCTCATCACCTCCTCGCACGCTTGCCTCCAGGACTTCTCCAGAGCCTCTCCCATCCTCTGGAACTCCCTACCACAGCATGTCCCGGTCAGCCCCCACCCTGTCTGCCTTTAGGCGATCTTTGAAAACTCACTTCTTCAGGGAAGCCTACCCCACCCCCACCTAAGAACTGTACTTGAATCACCTCCACCAGATCATCCCCCGCAGCTATCACCTTTTGTATCACCTCCCCCTTCCTTTAGATTGTAAGCTCCATGAGCCGGGCCCTACTATTCCTTCTGTACTGAAATGTATTGTAGTTGTACTGTCTCCCTTATATTGTACAGCGCTGAGCAAACTGTTGGTGCCATAAATCCGGTATAATAATAATAATATAAACAATCATTTCTCCTTCTCTCGGGCTGCATTCTTGCAGCCATTGAGAAATACTGTGAGAGCTGTGATTGGTCACAGCTTGTCACATGGTATAAGGCTGTTGTGAATGGCCCTGTACCATGTGATCTCTGTGATCATTCACAGATTTCACAAGTAGTAAATAATGATGTCAGGAAGTGACATCTTGTTTACTACTCTTCATGTGATCACTGATTGGCCAATGAATCAGGAGCTCACACAGAGGTCCCGTAGAGTGATCAGTGTACCGATCGAGGTGCCGTGCTCTCCCAGAGAGCGCGCACAGGCAATGGAGGAGGGGGGACGTTTAGAAACATCAACCCGCGTCGGCAGTGCTCCCGTCCGACCGTTTATCTACATGTTCCGGACGGGAAGAGGTTAAATACAAATATTAAGAGCTATGCTAAAATGATAGCGTGCAGACTGGCCAATATACTCCCAGATTTGATCCAGCCTGATCAGTTAGGCTTTACGGGAGCCAACACACAACATTTCCACAAGATGGCATCTAACTCCTCACCAAATGGCCAAATTCTCAGAACACCATAGCCCTCAATGCTGGAGAGACTGCGGTCAGCTTGGTGCTCTATTACATATATTATGGACATGGAAAAATATTAGAAGCTATTGGGATAAAGTCTTCCACATGAAATCGGAAATTCCTGGGATATTAAACACCCGATCCTACCCCAGCCACTCTGAATATAAATACAGACACATATCCAATCCATGATCGACTTTTAGTGACACGTATTCTTCTGGCATCAAGACTTACCATTACTAGACACTGGAAAAAAGACTCCGCCCCCCTTCTCTAAAAGAAGTCATTGAGCGAGTCCGGACCCACTTCACCTATCAGGAATCTTTAGCTCACCTAAAGGATAGAATCACCAAATTTGGCAAAGCTTGGACTCCCTAGTCCGACTGGTTCAGAACCGGAACCGAAGATATTTTTATGTTTAACCTTTTTTTGGATACTCTAAAATGATTAATTTGTGGAACTAGAAAGACTTTTAGGAATTATTCAATATTTCCTTTTTTCTCTTTGTTAAACTTTACCGCATCACATAGACTGTGATATTGTGTAGCTTTTCACTGTCCGGTTTTTGTTTTTTGTTGTTGTTGTAACTATATTTGTAAAACCAAATAAAAATGTATTATGGAAAAAAAAAATAAAAGTTTGTGTTGAGCTACTGTGTATATTTTTTTGGATAAGTAGGGATACTATGATCCGTTCCTATGGAGGGAGATATCTGGGTCCCTTTTATTTATAAAGGGGTTTTCCATATTTTAACAAAATATATTAAAACCTCCTGCGCTTCAGGATGGATAAAATACCTCAAGCTGCCAACACCATTCTTTTTACCAAAGAGAAAAAAATATATAAAATGGTGTAGCGCTAGAAAATTCCACTATACATATATAAATGTGCATATATGGAACCTAAACATTAGGTATAAATAACCTATAAATAGAGATATATAGATATACTCTCCGACAGCACACAGATAAACATGCATAAAGGGAAGACAACACGTGACTTAATCCTTGTATGGTGGTTACACACAAAGTCGTGCAGATATAACAAACTAAAATAACACTGTTCAACAGGTAAAAAGTTTTGGGCATAAAATTAGCTAATCTTACATAATTTTGGGGTGCTGAAAACGAAAATGACCCTAAAAAATGTTGATTGGCTCTAGTTTCCATGATATATTCACCCATCTAATGACGTACGCCATTCAAAATTATGATGCAACTTCAGCTGCATATTGCGCAATTGATACTGGTGACCAATAGAAAAATGTCCTGTATACTGAGATGATGCAATATTAGCCTTTAATTGCATCACTTCACTGCATAAAAGCTGCAGTATCTGTAGCTGATTGGAGTTCGTCTTTTACATTTCGTTTTCTGCTTATATAGGCTACTCAGTAATGCCTCGAACTTGTGTGAATAAAGCAGATAATTTCTGCTATATCTGCGGTGAAATAACTTTTATCTCACAAAAAAGGAGGATAACAGGAATGATTAAGAAAGCCTACAACTTGTATTTTGGCTGCAACTCGCGCCTAGGAGACCCAGGACTAGAGCTGGGCACTCACATATATGCTGCAATTCTTGTGGGACGGCACTGGAGCAATGGTTGAATGAAAAAAAGGCATCTATGCCTTTCGCTGTGCCAATGATTTGGAGAGAGCCAACAATCATGTTAGTAATTGTTACTTTTGTATGGCGCCTCCAATTGTAAAAGGCTAAATAAGAAGAAAAAGTTATCTGTGCACTATCCAAATATTCCATCGGCAATACGTCCAGTTCCTCATGGAGAGGGGCTACCAATTCCTAAAGCACCAGAATCCTTCGTGGTTGAGTCAAGTGAGGAAGAAAACCTGAAGCGTGTAGGGGCAGTT